GTGACTTTAGGAATTGGACCACCTAAATTAGGTAATTTTCAAGCCCGTACTTGATTTCGCTCAGTTCTGAAGTTACAAGTTATTCTCTGTAATACGCCCTGTATCTTAGGGGAGGCTGGTTATCACCTACTTCTTTCAGAAGGCTTGTGCTTGGAGCGAACAGACCCGTTGCCAACCAAACGAGTTCCCATCCCCTCTCTTCCGATAACATTGAGGGATTCATCGTAAGTTGGACGAAGAAGCTGGCAATAGAGCTCATCGCGGAGGATTTCCTGCAATCAATTGCCTTTCCTGTTTCAGAGAACTGTATTCGAACGCCAAGGCTGGTGCCGGAAATGCATTTTGGAAGAAATGTGGCCAAACCCGCTGGAGAAAACTCACGTGTGCGATTGCTGGTTTGAAGATACTGTCGGTAAGGTCAGTGCCCAGTCGGCTTCGTCTCGATGGCTGATCTCCCATGTACTTCAGCAAACACACAAACATCGAGATCGCATCACGACATTGCTCATCTCTGTAGGTGAAAAATTCGAGAGAAAGCTAAAGGACACCCACATCTGGAAAACTCACCTCCCTTCGAGCTTCTTCAACAACGGCACGTCCATAGGTTCACGACTGAAACGCCATCGCGGCATAGGCATGACGTCGCGACGTCTCAAAGTCATAAGCGATCGTTGGGCGACTGATGGACGAGGCGGAGCCCTGTTGATTCACACTTAATCTCTAACGGACTTTTAAGGGCGTGGAAAGAAGCAATAAACCTGAAGTTGTCAATAGCGAACTGTTCCAACGTATGCGGCCGTCCGTTGTTTTGAATAACGACAACTTGATTGTTGTTGAGAATATCCAGAGCCATTTGTTCACCTTTCGAAAACAGCTGCTAAAATGGGGTATGGATGAGTTGGTGGGTATTTGTTGTCCTTACATTTTGCTGATTATAGCTATAATCTGTAATACTACTGTAGCCCGCATCAGAATATGCTCATGCACTACTCCGCTTGAAGGCGAAGTTTACGATTTCAAGGCTCCATTAAAATAAAGTACATAGAGGTGGTCATATTAGGGAAAAACCATGAGGCTTAAAACCCGAGAACTGGGACCCCTCCTGTTGATTTCCTACATTGATGCGACTCTCATTATTGCCCTCTTCAACGCTAACGCTCTCTCTGCTAAACGGCTAGAGACCTGCGGCGAGTGGTTAGCCAGTCGGTGGGCGTGCCGCGTCGATAGCGCCGCAGGACGGCCATGCTAGGTCGCGGGGCATATCCTTCGCTGCGAGATGCGCGTCAATCCGCACCTTTATACCGGGATCCGCCTGTTTTTCCACCTGGTAATTTTCCCCTTCTTCGACCTTCGTCTTTCGTTATCATGGAATCTTCCCTCGAGGTTTTTTGATGGATTTTTGATTTACAAATAGTTCAACAGCAGTCTACCATGTGAGCTAGATTTGTGAAGCGATAAAAGCAAGTAGCATTGCTCAACATACGTACGTTCCTAGGATCAAATCGCGGGATCGGACGCTACGGATGACAGACCAACTCTTCTACCTTTGCTGGAGCGAATAACTGGTACCCCATTTGTTTTAGAGATGGAAGGGATTAAAATGCTGACCCATACATCAGCTGGCCCTCAAAGTAGCATTAAACTGCCACATATGAAGGAAGTAGATGTGGCGTGGCGCATTCGAATGTGGTTTGGATCGGACGCGCGAATGCTTATAGGCCAATGCCCTTTTCAGTGCTTTCAACGAAGATATTTGATGTTGGGAAAATCTTATTCACTCGCTTTCTCGCTGATCCGCTGGATGGCAACAGGGCAAGATCCGGCTAATGGGCAGCAATGGCTGGTAGTTTTACAGAAGGGCGGCGGGGAGAGGCGGAAGCATAGGACTTGCGTTAATGCGAAATATACCGACCCCTACCAAACCCCCACCAGCTCAACTCAAAATGCGAACGACGCCTTTTTTCATGGTCATCAATACTGCAAATCACCTTGGATTTCGTTCAGCTCATTTGACATTTATATTTAACTCATTTGAAAATACCATTCAGAATCAGCACCTAGTGGTCCACCTAAAGGCAGTAGCTGAAGCCCTACCAGAGTGTTCACATTGGGCTTGATGAGTGTTGCTAACAACGTAGACATTTTCCGTTCGAAAGTAACCCTGGAGGCAGGTGCGCGCACATTCACCCTAAAAAGGAAATATAGGAAAAGAAATATAATAAATTGGGGCTAATGACTCTCGGTCAACCATTAGAAGGTCAATACCAACAAACCTTCACTAATTTCTCCGTGAGCAGGTCCTTGCCAGTTGTTTGATTCATCAGAACAATCAGGTCTCCCACTTCAAACTCGAGCAAATTGGTCGCATCTGAAAAGCGCTAATTGAGATTCGTTCTCAACCCCTTCCATTAGACTCCCTCACCGTCTCCTTTTTGGCGTTTCGTTGCGATGACGTATCTACTCCTCTGCTTGAGACCGTCGATGAAAGTCGACACCAAGTCTTTCACGTCTTCGGCATTCGGGGACTGGAACGAGTACTCGTCGCCAGTCACTGTCTGAACAACGCAGGCGTCAGCACCGGGTCGGGGTCCCCTTAAAGAAGAACTCGTTGAAATCGGCACTTCACGATCCGCCTCAATTAAGATGTTACTTTTGATGCGTCACTTTCGTGATTTCAGGATAGCTGAACTCAAGCAACACATGCTCCTGATCGTCAACCACATAGATACCCGTCCAGTTCACGGCGACAATGACGTCATTGCGAGGAAGAGGAGGCCCGGAGAACTTGGTTGCTTCATAGAATCTGTAAGAAGTTTTCAGATGTTCATAAGCGAAAAATAGACTGAGGGAAGTTATAGCGAAGTGGCTCAAAGTTGATATTAATGTTGAGGTGGTTAGGAGTATGCAGGGTGAACCCCTCCCCTTGAAGGAGTTCCACGATAAGGCCGAAGCTAAGGGGAGTATGCCTAGTCGAAAGGCAGCTGAGCCCTCTGAGGGTTGGAACAATGCGCGTTACACAGCAAGTACAAGTATGCCCCAGTGGCTAAGCAGGGCCATTCCGCGGTACGCACACCGTTCTGGATCTAGCCGTTCAGCAGAGAGCGTTAGCGTTGAAGAGGGCAGCAGCGATGAGAGTCGCATCAATGCGGAAATCAACGGGCAAGGAAGGGGTCCCATTTCTCGGGTTCTGGGCCGTTTCTCATGGTTTTTCTTCATCCCGGCACCACTGACCACCTCTATGTTGAGTTGCCTTCCAATCAAAAACTCCGACTTAGCGGGGTCCTAACACCCCCTCCACCCCTTCAGTACAAGCTTGGAGGGGTCTCTGGATACGACCCTTCCTCAGGAATGATCTCACGGGTACCCGCATGGGGCCCGTCGTGTGACGACAAGAAGGCAGTGTCAGCGGACGAGTCGCAGCGCACTGTAGTGATTTCGCGTCAAGTTAAATAGAATGTACCATTGTACGTCCTACATCGCACATCACGCGCTGCGACTCGTCCGCTGACTCTGCCTTCTTGCCGCGCGATGGGCCTCCTGTCGGGTACCCATGACCTCACCCTCCCCCAATCACTCATACCATATCCTCCGTTTTTTCTTTCCGGGACTTCGACGTAAATGAAGTAAAATTCACCTTGAGAACAGCAATGGCCATTTGAATTTCGCAAACGTCACCACGTCTTCCTTGACGTGATGAGGTGATGGTGGATTGGTGCCGAATTTCTGTAAGAAAATGGATTTGGCGTAGCGAAGCGAAAACCCCAGCAATGTGTCTGCGTTACCCTTCTGTAGTGATACATGATCGCTTGAATCCATCGCTCCTTTGCCATCTCTTTGCCGTTCAGTTCAAAATCGGGCAAGTAATTGTGCAGTTGACTTTCGAGACGATTTACGTCAAGAAGCCCTTCTTCGATGAAGTACTGCTGAGCAGCGAGAGATGCGAGATCGTCCTCCTAAACAATTCATTTGCACAACTGCCTTAGGTATTGCGATCAGGTCAATTAGCCTTACCTTATCACATCGGTATTCTCCATATTTGATGCCCCGTACGACTTGTTGGTAAATGAGATTCGTGCTGATAGGATCATCCCTAAATGGCTAACATTTGAAACTGTCACGCATAGTCAGGCTGAAGGAACGTACTTGGCGTCGTGCCAAGGCGTGAAAATCTCCTTGCGGAAGAACAGCCTCCATGGCGCATTCCTTTCCTGCCGACCCTGCTCCTTGGCATATTGTTCACATTGCGAAATGGCATCCATTACGTGGTCAGCTCCCGAGCCGAGGGATGATACCTGCGACAGAATTCTGGTAGAGCGGATCATGAGAGAGCCATTCCAAAAGAATCACTGACCTTGTCGAAAAGGGCAATGTAAAGGCTGAAACCGAATCTTTCCTTGAGGCCGATCTTCTCGGCAAGAGCCGAGCAAACTTCAGCCGCTGTCGTGGCACTGTCCGCGCTCATCGTCTTCACCGAACCGTCCATCAGGGTCACAGCCAGCACAATCTGCTTCTTTGCTTTGTTCGCCTAAAACAAGATCGGTATTTATACAATGAAATTATGAAAAAAATAAAAAAATAAAAAACAGAACAATAGAAAAAATTCTTCTTGGCTTTTTAAGCACGGACAGGCGAAAAGGTAGTCTTCTTTGTCACCGTGAATCGGTAGGTTCGTTAGGATTTGATCCTAGTGTTTTTTTCTGCACTCGCCATTCTCTGCACTCGCACATTCACTGATACGGGTACACTGTGCTGCAGCAAAAATTCTCTTTGTCTCAACATAACTTGAAGCTCAACATAGCTGGGCGGCTGATGTCGACATCCATTCTGTTCAGTTCGTCTCAATCGCTCTTCCATGTAGGCAGCATAGCCAGCACCAGCCGGGCCACGCTCACGAATGAAGCAGTACATAAGTAGTTTGATAACTGCAATGACAAGAGCTTCCGTAAAATCAATTTGTGCTTTTTATTAGAATCCTGGCCAGCCTGCGCCGGAATTCTTGTTTGGCAGTACAGCGTGTCCTTTGTCTGCGCGGTCCACCTTGTAACTACTTGTATTACTGACCTGTTCGGTCGCGTAAGCTCCCACAACACAGCGATATTGAAAAGGATAGCTCAATTTCTCAAAGGGTTTAGAGAGAACGTGGGGTGCTCCGTGATCCAATAGTGGCGAAAAAAATAAAGCAGAGGAATAAGTCAAGAGTACCTAAATGGGAACCCCTTTTTGGCCGTTGGTTTTCATTCATGAATAGTCAACAGCTCAGAAAGTGGACGTAGGAGCGAGTTCACCGCAAGGCGTTTGGTGACATCATGCCAAACCACACTTGGCAATTGGTTGGCCTGCACGTTTGTGCCCGTCTACTGACAACACAGCTCGTCCAAATCACCAACTAAACTTGTGGGCGGATCGCTTTTGGGGGCGGAGCGCTTTCGAAGTCCTGCTCAGCAACCAGCGCATCTTTCGTCGTGAAAGCGCCACACTCGCTTCCTTGGCAGCCAAGTAACTGCTTCGTGTGGTGCATATGCTTCCCGATGCGCTCCCTCTTTATCGTAATCGCTTCCTTTAAGTTTGAGTTTCTGGCCCCGCCCATCACAGTCCGTCGCCAAAAGTAACCCATCAATTATATGGATATGCTTTTAATACCTCCTGACCATTTCAATTGCCCCTCCCAGTTTTTGGTAATATTTGAAGCATTCGAAGCTCTGGATTCGAGCTCACGATGCACTTGTACATACCACCCACATTAACCTCTGGCACGCTCGTCAGTACCAAGCAGGGTGAATATCGGTCGAGGAAATCCTCGACAGGGGGGTCGTACCTGTTGGGCTGGTCCATGGGGGGTCGTACTCTTGGGGTCAGTAACAGAAGTGGTATCATGGTGCAGATAGGTAATAGGGTATAGCGCAGCAGAAAATGAAAACATCCGAAAAAAAATGATATTAAATTTTCTTTGCAGGTTCAGTCGCTCCATTCCTCCACCTTCATGAGAAGGGCGTATTTGAAGGCAGTACAAAGAATGAAAGTGCATCCCCGCAAAGAAGAGTGCCACATGTGCGCACGCGCTGCAAAGGCACCTCCTCCGCCTATCACTCGCTCCTTCTCCCTTAATACCTCGCTGAGAATGACGCTGTTGTTAGGGACCCTGTCGGAAAAACGACAACCGTGAAGAAAAAGCGCTGGGCAAATGAAGTTGTTTTTTAGGTTACAGGAATAGCACAACACACTATGTCTACTACAATACAGTTTCGTTCGAAGGTCCCCATCATATAACACCTTTCAATCGATTCTGCAACTGTGAGTGGAGGAGGGATGCATGGCTTATACCAATACCAAATCGGATGATGACGATTGCTCCTATTCTTATTGTTTGCGTTCAAAGATATTGTTCTAGACACATTCCGAGTGTTGCCAACGAGTCACACTTGCAATGGTGAATGAGGGAGCGGATTTCCAGGTGGCCGGATCCGACCTCGATAGATCCTCGACGCAATTATCTCTTCAACCAAAAAGCTGTAGAAGAAAACTAAACAGACCATCAGGAAGCGCAAACCTTCCGCTTTCCAAAACTATCTTCCCTTTTTCAGGATCTTACAATATAAGAGATATATTGCTCTTGAAGTGGCAAAAACTCGCGTGAAAATTTCGGCCTCCTCGACATTTACTCGACGAAATTTGACAGACCCTATCTTTCTGCAAGGAAGGCTTCCAGAGCAATTTCGATGCTTGTTGGAAACGCGAAATCCAGCTCTATCTAACTCTACCTCAAGCTGCTTCAAAGGTTGTGAAATGGAGGAATGCAACCTTTTCATCGAGGGTGTAGATTCGGACGTTTTTTTTTTGAAATTTCGGCAAATCTGACCCAGTGACAATCGCGCCGCAGCTGCCGTTGAATCGGCCGTTTTGATACACTCGGCTGTTTTGATATACTCAAGCAAGAATCAAGATTGAATCGCAACCCCGTGTCTTCAGGATTTCTGTGCGTTTCTGAACGAACCTCGCCTTGAGGTCACACAAAGTTAATGCCTCTTTCCTCGAGTCGATATTTCAGTATGTACACAAAAGTATGCAGCGATGGAAGACGTGCATAGATGACAAGATGAAGCGTCCTTAGCATTATTTTGCAGAATTTTTTTTGATTTGTTTTGCAGGATTTATTTTAATTGAATTAATTTGCTCTGTTAGAGGGGGTCGTGCCAGGATCTCGATTTCGGGGGGGGGGTCGTACCTCTGCGACCACGTACTCGACACGATTTTCACCCTGCCTACATCGATAGCAAAGCCAGCCATCCTTGCTCCATTATACTCGATCCACTTATCCTCTGTGGTAAGCTGGTAAAATATCGTAGATATTGCTCCTCTCATCAATTTTTTTTGCTCTATAGACTTTCTCCTGAGCGAGTTATGAATTTTTACTGAGCACCGCCTGTTGAGAGAACGTTCCGCCCACTGCGGCCTCCTATTCCAAATCAGCAACTCAATAGGCGCTACCGTAACTGTAGACTTGACAATCATTCTCCCGTTTTGAGAATTATGATTTGAATTTATTAAAATTTAAATCATAGATTTTATTTTTAGTTTTTTTAAATTTATGATAAACGAAGCAGACAGAACTACCCTACGATCTACAAGAAATATCTTGCCAGATATTTTATTGTCGACCAAATTATTTCCTTGAGGGAATTTCTGCGAGTAACAGTTGATAGCTATTTTTTTAGAAACTCACCGTGGGCTGGGAGCGAAGCATCCGACGCACAAGGAGAGCAAAATCCAGCCACGCGCAGCGGATAGCCTCGACGGATTACCGGTAAGTTGTTTGCAGAGCTGACAATAAATCTCGTCTCTGAAATAATCCCAAGTAGTATCCAAGTATTTGGTATTACAGTGTTCCACCTTCCTACACCTACCTGAGTTCTTCTCTCAGTATCCCCATTCCGATAATGTAGTGCAGTTTATCGAGTGAACTCATAGGTCTGTTCTCCATCACGCATTTGCGATGCCGACGATCCGTGAACGGTGCCGACCGAACGAAGGAGCTCATGTCTAAATTGAATAAGTTTGTATGAGATAGGGAAGCTCTACCTAGCCGACCGCAACTGTGTGTTTATACCCACCTGAGATCTTTGTTTTCCTCTTCAGAGTCATAGATATCAGCTTCCTTCCCATGCTTTTCTTCAGCGTCCGACCGGTTCCATCAAAATCCTCCGCCTGTGCGGCTTCCTCAACATCTCGAGCGGTGTACTTTCGGCCCAGTGATTCGAACAAACGGCTCATTCATTATGGGGGTTTTGTCCTAAAAGGTTATTGTTATTTGAGTTCAACATAACCAAAGTGAGTTGGGGTGACGCGCCAGCTCCAACATGCACAGTCCGGGGTCAAATTACGGAACGTGTCTCTCTCAGATCAGGTCAAGCTAGCGTCCCAAGTCTTGCGGAATTCGCAATATTACTACCACACCGTTGGAGTATGAAAACGTTGACTTAAACATGGGTCGGTCGCACCAAGATACGTGGTGCACCCTGAAAAGGGACTGGTTGGAAGCGAAAACTCTATCCTTCAGAAATAGTAATTGGTTTTCATGGTCCCAGGATTCATGATAAGGATGCCTTGCAGTAGCTCAAAAAAACCTCTGAACGAGCGATCCCACCGAAAAGGGCGTAACACGCTCACGAGTCTTATAGCCACGGGCCAGGACTAGGTGCCAAGAAACGTGAGTGAGAAGGAGGGGTCGCCCATGTGCTACCACTATTCAATCGCGGCACACGTGGCGTCTGCGCCCTCTCGCGTACGACGTGCTCTCTCGCGTTTTCCCTCTCCTCGCAGCGCTGTGTCTCTCCGTCATACTACGGCCGGACTCACAAAGGGAAATTTAGTGTTTTCTATGGTGCTTTTTGCTTTTTCTCCTCACTAATGTTCCTCATTGCACTTCTTGCCTAATTTTTGAGCAAAATAGCACATCAATTCGATCCCGACCCGTGCCTTTAAATTCGAACACTGAAACGTTAGGTCAGAGCCCACAATCTCAACATGATCCTCCCCTCAAAGGAACCAAATATTATGAATAGGTCAGGAGAAACATACGCAATCTAATGTTTATCTGCAGCTGCATAGTTTTAGAATGAAGGCGGATGTGGTGTTTCAGGTCAACTAGTATGAAACATCAGGCACAACTGCTAGTGAGCGATACTAACCCAAGTACTGCTAACATTATCATCGGTAAGCCCTACTTCCTTACCCTATACAACCGTACTTAGAAGAAGGTCCGATCAATGAGAAGGACTTCGTAGTCGGCGGGTACCGCCAATGATAAGCGCTCAACGTGTTTCAGGGGTTCTAAGCATGTGCTCTGTTCCATTACTGAGACCCAAAAACCATATTCGCTTTCATTTTCGGACGCAATATCCACAGCTATTCTATCAAGGAAACCTTTGGAATTGTGCCGTACGTCGTCATCCGGTCATCCTCACGATCATGCAATCTTCCTTATTTTCGAATTATTTCCCAAATCGCAGGTTCACACTTCCTGAATCACAGGATGACACCTTACCGGCACGTCTCCATTGGAGCTATATTTGACATCAGGTAGATCGCCCATAAATCGCAGAATCGTTATCCATACAGCCATTGCCGCCTAAAAGTAGTTTTAGATTAATGACGGCTTTTCTCGTACACTGTTTTGGCTACCAGTTGTGATGCCGAATCCTGGTGAGTCAGAAGTGGCGATTTCAAGGGCTTCTTTGAATGCGAAGATGTGATCTGAGACTGGAAATAGGTGGCGGCAAATTTGCTGAATTGATACTTTTCCAGATCTTCGTCCACATGCACGGTTTCCTCAACCGTGGGAATCTGAAGAGGCATTTTATTTTCGTTCCTTCAGACAGAACAAGAAAGTTCGAACCTGGGTGGGATTCGAGTCAATGCTAACGCTGCTACTGGAGACGTTGTCAGGGATTGTGTCCAGACGAGAATCAGGTGGAAGGAAGTCAAAGAGTTGTCCGACCTGAATGTGTGAGATTGAGAGAGGATTAATACAGGAGTATGATAGCATAGGCAGGGTACGACTCGCACACTGTGGTGAGAGAGATTTTTGAAGCGTGCCCTTCGAAGACAGTAAAAGAAAATCTGAGAAAATATCAGAGTGAAGAGGAGTTAGACGTAATAATAGAGAAGTTCAGTTTCAGAAAAAGAAAATGACAGAAAGTAGCACTGCAAGCCTTTTACCTCTGAATGCGTCTCATTTCGGAGAATAATCTGAAATGTGAAATGCAGATAATTTCGAGATTGGTTCTAATCTACAGAGATATGTAGCTCTTGAATGAATTCAATTTCCACATTCACCGCAGCCAGTTGGTCAACACCTTGACGACAACACGGGTATCCCGCCCATTGCAGGCCATGTCAGACCTTGCGGGACATACATGTTTCCCGCATCCCTTTTATCATTTCTTTAAGCGGATGCCCGACTTTTCGAAGGTTTTTTGTTTACAATTCATAGAACAGATATTGATAGAACTAGAAAATTCGTGGAATGCGAAATTTTCACAGTTTAACCAAGGTTTTAAAACCTCATGAACTTCACAGTGCAGCTCAAACTCACACTAACTTCTAAGAAAGAAGTAAAATTCGTGAATGACATCTAATGTTTGACCAAAACGTTGTGAACGACAAATTTGCCAAGTTGTAAGAAGTCCCAGCCAGGGTGGATATCGCGCCTTGTTCGACCGTGCGGTGGATATGTATACCCGCAACAAGCAAATCGCGGCTTCAGCAAAATCGTTGACCTACATACCAGGAAACCGGCACAACTCGCATGTAGCTCAGTGTGCTGGGTACTGTTTGGAGCATTAGCCCTTTTGCGTGTACTGGGTACGTTTTTTTTGCATTTTTATTTTCATAACTGCGCCCACCCTTTTGAATATTTTCGTAATAGGTAACAACTGAATCTTTCTACGCATCCGATAAAGTGTTAGGTTTATTCTGGAACAAGAAAGACAAGAGAGATGATTCTTGTCAGTGAAGTAGCGGAAACCGGGTTTATGGTAACGCCTAATAGTACGTCTCCCTTTTTTCCGGCTCGATCATCTCGAAAATCTTTTCTTTATTTCCACTCCAATATCTGCTCTAAAACGACTCTACAGCTATACTTTTCTCTAAATTGCCGATCGTCATAGCTACAAGACGGACTTTACGAGTTCACTTCTGCTACCACGATGGAGCCGCATTTAGAGGATAGTACAACTCTGCCGTAACCATGTTTCACTTTTTCGAGGCTGCCCCTCAACACTTTGAACCCATAGTTCGCTTTTCAGGTGAGATACGGAACAAATCTATGGTAAGAGCTTCCATCAGAAACGCACCAGTTCTTCCTCCCTGATTTCCTCTTTAGCATCTTCTCGTAAGTCTTCTTGAAGCTTGATCCGTCGTCCTCCATTTTTCCTGAGGTCGCTGACCATTGCACGAACGAGTGCTCCACGACACGCTGCCTGGAAAAATTCAAAATGCACGCCTTTCATGAAAAAAGTGAAAAAAGTTTCGGCTTCTTTACTGCAGCAAGGAAGGTCTTGGCCTCACTTGAAACTGAATGATATTACGTCGCAGACTTTGATAATGAAGAACAAGTTGACGGGACCGGAGAACGGCTTGTAGGCGGCAGAATCCGGCTATTATCTGAAGTGTACGACTTAGCCGACTAAGGATCTCACTGAGGACATCGCCATGTACCTGAGTATATCGCTTTTGATGGATGTAACGCCTCCAATGTTTCTGAATCACCGTAGCCGCGTCTTTCTTCTTCTTGAACGATCTTTTCGCAACCCAACCCTTGACGTGTTTTTGGATCACCGTAGCACGGAAGGACAACATACGATGGTATTCCTGAGATATTCTAATATGACGTCTGTTAAACACTTTTGCAGATGAATACTTGAGGGCTGAATTACCTGTTCCAGATATAAGTCGTGCCTTTCTTTCAGAAACACTTTCGTCTTCCCTAACTGGAATTCAGACCCTTGGCCAAGCACTCGGTTGCAGATCAGCTCGGCTGCACTTCTGTAGTCTTTACCGGTTGAAGCTCCTGCAAAAAGTCTATATTGAACTGATAGGAAAGACAAATGGAATTGCTCAGCACTACATTTGGCTTTCCTCATGATGGGAAGGAGAGGGACTTCTTGTACTAAATTCTTTCAACGGAAGGCTGACTCAATTGGCACTTCCACATTTCCTGCTCTTTACAGACCTAGCAGTTGGTAGCAAACTTGTCGCCATTCATCAACCCAAGTTTGGCACCAATTGCAGTGTCTTTAACACATTCACGCCGATGGCCGCCCATATGGGCTGCCAACAACATGCGCTCCTGGGACGATGGCAGCCCATATGGGCTGCCAACTGATAATCGCTTGCCAGGCGCTAGGAATGGACAGATAGGTGGGCAAACCTCGTAATCGAGTGTAAAATGCTTTTAAATTCCTTCACGGGGAAAGTGAATAAATGCTCTCTTTTCGTAACCACTATTTGTCGTTCTGATCGAAATCCTACTGTTATATGTTTAGATAATCTTTACGCATTGGACATTGCAGAAATTATTTTGTGACATTCATGTTTTTGTTCATTTACAAAACAAAATCTGCGGTTATGTGGTGAGGCGGCGCCCACAAAATCGCGTCCGTCCCACGCGACCGAAAAGTGGAAAAGGGGCGTCGTCGTGAATGTGTAAAAAAAGGAGAAGTTACAAAGCGATTTCGACGGTTTCACTGAAAATAAGTGTGAAGAAATACTTGCCGATTCCGTTGATAAGCACTCGATAGCGTTGAACGAAAGGCTCGAAGTCATGTCGTATGGGATAACCGTTTCTTCGAATCTTGATCGTCTCCAGCATTCCAGAGTATTGCAGTTGACGTAGCACCAGACCACGGTCCATCATCTGAACGATAGATTATTTTGGGATCTAACCCTTGAAGGCATACCTCAGGATCAAACTTGTGTGGTTGTTGCACACGAAGCGAGAATATTGGTGGGAAATTGCCGGCAGTGAAGGGAAAATGAAAAGATCTGTCGGGAACGCTTAGGTTAAGGGCTTGCTAGCCTATCTAATGCGGCTGTGTTAGGCAGTGAGATAGTGAGCGCCGAGTGGAGAATATGGCGAGAGAGCGCAACTGATGAGAAGACATCAGACAACAGACTGCTGCGGACGGGGACAACACTACTGCAGCTAACTTGCAAGGGCCTAGTACCCTTGTTGTGTGACATAAATGCACAGCAGTGCCAAATCTGAGACCTAGGGCTCTATCCCACAGATTGGAGGGAGTCGTCCGCATGACTTCTACCTGGGTGTACCGTTAACTTGAAGCCATAGCACATAGGTTAGGGTGAAAAACGATTAGCTACTCACCAGTGCCCTTTTGAATTCATTCGGTTTGATGCATCTGATAAAGAACGGCTCCGTCTGATTCAACTGCTGCATCAGCTGATCGAGTGACTTACGGAACTGACTGCTCACGGTGGTGCTCTTGTTTCTGAAGATCTTTACTGATATCTTTCCACGATGGATGAAGGTAATGCTTCCTACCTGATGGTGCCGTCAACGTGATCGGTTTCGTCAAAGATTCGTAGGAGCAAATGCATATTCGACGACTGAACAAGAGAGTGCAAATCTGCCGAGAAAGAGTCGCGATTTTTCTCGAGGAAGCCTGAAATCGCAACATGCCGCTGAGGGAATAAATATCGCACACAGCTGCATAAAACTCACCTCTAACATGATAAAAAACGGGCCCTGCAAAATGTTTCACTCCAAAAGATCGCTGAAGATCGGCCTTTGGGCGCATATAAAAGCTTTTGTTGGAATGAGTAGAGTGTAACTTACACAGCATCGTCTGGTCAGTACCCTAAGTAAGAAAAAACGCATATAGGAAACAAAGAGATCTCCTCAGTGAGAGGTAGTTGAAGGCGGAACTGAACAGCAAATTCAAGGAAGCTCAACCTTTGGAAAAATGCTCTCTTCGTCAATCAGGGAAAATACGTTCATCGGTCTCACGCCAATCATCTCCATCGTCTCTTTGTTATCAACGAATTTGATATGACGCCAGTTGATTTGCTCCTGAAATTATTTGCTTCCATAGATGAAATTGCAGGTCAGTGAAGAACTGCAAGACTTGAACAAATACGTGCGGTGCTAGTAAAACTATAGACGCTGTAGGTAGGAATGAAGGTGAGACGAAGAATGAGGATAATGGCGGCCAGTTCCGAACGCTTATTTTCTAGCCGTGGTGAGTCGGGGTCTTTAGTTAGTATTATACAAGTTACAAGAATTAGCGACTTCTTAATCCGCCGTAATTAAAGGTACACCACTCATTAGGCTAAGTGGAACAATTCATTGAGTGAATTTGGGTTGGTAACCGCGAAGATATTCCCTCTTCGTGGCTCGTAAGCAGGTGTTAAAAGGGTTAGGGGATGGCTGGCGCGGCCTAGCCTTCGCTAATGCCACTCACGGTTGCGGGTGCATGGTGCCTGCGAAAGTACCGCACTAGTTTAATCGTGGAGTGGGCCTTTTAATGAACTGTACAGAATTGAATTTCTACATTTGAATTTTGTACCACCTATTACTATGCAGCTCTCGTGGGCTAGTTGACATTAATATTTCTGATTGAGAGTCCTAGAACAGCGCGTCGATGAGAATTCCCTCGAGAATGCTGGTCAGGAAAACCATCGCGCTTCGAAATGAGCTGTGAGCTTGACCTTAGTTCCGGAAGATGCCATATCCAGTCCACGTTAGAGTGGATGGGAAACGTGCATGAAGGGTTCCACATATCCTTTTCTGTTATTGTTCCTTTCTATAGGCCAGGTCAGCAGAGCTGCGCGGTTACTAAGACCATAGGGAAGTGGTACTTTACCGATCAGCAGGCTTAAAGCGAAATGGTCCATTGAGTGCATGAGCGCATTATGGGGCTATACCTTAAAATTCCCCCGGGTGGATGCGTATCCCACTTCCTTCCTATCCTTCCTTCCCCTCTATCACTCTGAACTATGAGCGCGTGACTCGTAAAGAAAATAACATGCTCCAACAGTGGAGGGTCGCAATGGTGCGGCAGTTTTCATGGCGCAATCGCAGGTGGAGAAACCCCTGAAAAGCCACAGTTCTGCGGCATAATCTCGAAAACACAAGTGTGATCATAAGAGGCGCTTATACTCTACAAATTGGGGTACCAAGCTGGTGCGCAGAACGCGACGCAAAGCGCAAAACGGAACGCGTATATTGCTTGCCGCAACAGTCCCCTGCTGCTAGAGCAGCGTCCATTCAACAACGGCAATAAGCCGCTTTTGTGAGCGCTGCTACATAGGGTGACAATTGTGCAAATGCTTGGTAGCGCAAAATTTCTGCCTGCCCTTCACTGGGTGCGGCCTTAAACATTCTTTATTTGACGTTGCTTACATCAATAAACCAAAGCCTGTCGCGAGCGAGGCTGCCAAAGCACCACATATTTTTTGGATTTAAAATTACCAACAGTAAAGAGACATCAGGCACTAAAGGTGGAGCTCGTGTCTCTTACTGGCTCTGTTTGTTGATAACTTCCATAAAGAAGTCCAACTGATGAAGGGCTCACAAGATCGTATTCGGCCTGCTCCATTTTGAAGATGTGCTGCACGAAGAATTGTTGGAGGCTCTCGTTAGCGTAGTTGATGCACAGCTGCTCGAAGCTGTTCGTCTCGAAATTTTCAAAGCCAAAAATGTCGAGAACTCCAATAGAGTGGCGATCCGCTGAATCGTTTCTTGGCCTAAAAATCTCATTGTGAAACCGATGCCATAATTTTCATCAATAGAAAAAAAGTTGGACTTCTTAGTGAGAGAGCGCTAACAGTATTCGGTACCTATATGTACTGGGGAGGTGGCATTATTGGTTTGGTGCATTATTTCGTCCAGCCTACAAAAATCCCAATTTTTGCAAGTGAGGGAGGCTCCGGGGAGAGGACGGAGAGGTGAAAGCGAAAACGAAATGATGGAATTCTCCGTGACTTCCTTTCCTTCCAAAGGTTTGGATTACAGTAGGTGGCCCCATTCGGTGTGTAGACCCCAATATTCTGCTCCATAAGTTGGAATCAGATTTCGTATCAGCGCGCTTTCAGCTAAGACTAGCCCTATTCTACGCAGTAGGTCTTACTTGTAAATGGCATCATTGATACGCGTGACGATGTAAGTGAAGAGTCGTCCATAGATGCCTTTGGCTAGCGCATCTCGGGCATCGACAGCGCCTCGAGACGACAACCTCACCACTACCCTTTCCTCCTTCGTCACGATCGTTCTCGTCGTCAACGTGCTCAAGAGACACTGCTCTTTCACCTAGAATAACAATTTGTTAATATTACAGCTCAAACTCGCTCGCG